AAGAAGCAGATATTTCCGGTACTCTAGAAAGCTGACACTGTTGGCCTGAGAAGGCCAAAGAGGGTGGAAAAGGCCAGGCTTACGGTTGTTGTCAATTACAACATTTCGCAGGTCATCTATCAAGCCCTGATCTTCGTCATCAGAATCCTCGAGCTCCTCACCCGGGCTCGGGGGAGACTCGCCGGGGCCGCAAGCGAATACGGTGACCCGCAAGGAACCCTGAAAATAGTTTGAAAAATGACAACATGCTTGCGAATTAGGATTCATCAACTCCCTTTCAGCTTCCATTCAACAATACCCCACCACCCCTTTTGTTTGCGCTCGTTATGTGCGTAACGTGGAAGTGCAACAGACCATGCATGCAGTCACAAAATGCATATTCGCGCATATACGCATGTCCACTCATGTGTGTGGGTGCCAGTAGAGGAATCAATACCCGCCAATTGAAAGTGAATTTCAGAATCGCATTTGAAACAAAGCTAGCACAATGGCTGGCCCTTCAGTTTCGGCTCCTTACGTGCAAATCCGCTCCATCTGGGCTCTGCAGTGGCAACGACTTTTTTATTTTGTGGGTTTTGCGTTTCTGAACGAGTGAAAGCTGCAGAGCCACGAGGCCTATAGTCGTGTTGCGCCAGAAAGCGTTGGCGGCCTGAACTTCGAACTCTATGAAGGACTTCGCCCACTCCTGCGAGCAGCAGACACCGCTGCTGCAGCAGCAAAGTCATCGGCAGATACAACAGCTGCAGCAACGCGGACGCCCGCTGCAGCACGAGCTGAACCAGCCCGACTCATACAAAGAAGCGCAGAATTCCACACTGCCCACCAAAACTGACAGAACTACCTCAAGGCTCGTATATTAAACATGTATTGCACAAAAAAGTAATTGTTTGCTTTATAAAACCGGGTTTCTTCCCCCCATGCAGGCGAATGCAGTGCTGCTGTGAGGCCACAGAAGCCCACTCCCAGAATACAGTTCGAACGCTGCAGTGTCTCGGCTGCATCCGAAGTGAGTTCTTCCTGTTGAATGTTTTAAAAGATACAATTTTTTATTTAGAATAAAGGGTTTTGAGCCTCGTGGTCTTGTGGAGGCTCACATCTGAGGTAAGTTCTATATCGGTCCAGGTGTGGGACTCATCCCAAGAAACGACATTGACTTTCGCGAACTTAATTTCAGATCTGTATTCTCTGCCGCAGCAGCGGACGACTACAAGGGGGTCAATAGGGCGGCCTCTTTCTCGCACGAGGTTCAGGGCCTCGTGTATCGTGAAGCCAACGCTGAATTGCTTCTTCATCGTGTCCGTGGGTCTCTAATCCGTAGACGGAGTGGCGAGCACCTCTTGGCTGCATTCTGCTCTGATTTTGAATCAAAAAGACTACTGGTTACCCCTAGATGCAGAAAATGGAGCGCCTCAAGGCGGTCTTGCCATCCCGCAGAGCCCCACCGAACCAAGGCAGAAACAAGACAACTTGAAGCACCCCAACAGTTCCCTGCTGATAAATGCAGCCCAGAGTCTTTGAAAAAAATAAAGAGAGCCACTAGAAAGTAAAGAGAACGGGGGGTTCAATGGTCATGGGCCACTGTGCCTCCCAGTGTTCGGTGTTGCGCGGCCCACCCGGGGAAAGTTGGAAGTCTACTCTACAGACACACGATATAACTTGCCAAGGAATTAAAACTGATAAATAGCACACAATTAGCTTCAATTTTCTTCTTGAAATTAGCTGGAAATTGCCTCAGGAGCTGCCGCGCTCGGCGGCACGCAAGCGCTGAAGGGCTCGATGTAGTGAGCTAAGCCCACCCTGGCCCCTACACGGGCTTCCCCGCAGCCTACACATAAATGTACAGGCATCTATAAGCGTCAGAATCACCCAATAAACCCATATAAATGCATTTTAGTTATTGTCGTTATTGTCATATTCTGCAAAGAAGACCTTCTGTGTATCTGGGTGTGCGCGCGACCACTGGCTGCACCAGTGACACTGCCAGCCCCAAACCCTGGCCTATCTGCAGAGCGCCCAGCTGCAGCAGCCCTGTTTCTTTTACTAATACCTCTCCAATTATGCATTTGAAGTATAACATTTAATATTATAGCCTTTGGATACTGTACCAACTTAACATTGTAGGGCCACGCACTGGGCTCGACCCCTTCTCACCACCAGCGGACACTCCTGAGCCTCACCTCTCCTCAGACAGTCTGCATGCACTAATTTTCGTTGAATTGTCTTTCAAGTCTTAAGTTCTTGCATTCAGCAGCTTCCTTTCTTTCTGCTTGTATTCCAGGCTTGCTTCAGCATCACCATTCTACGGTTTGGTCGGGCCGTGCGTGACCATCGCATCCTCGTCGCCTAAAGGCGACGAGATGAAAATTCTGCACTTTGTAAATTTGCCACTGTCATTTAAATAATTTTTAAAGTAAGTAAACATTTAATTGCAGATGCTTACTTTGGAGGCCGGCAGCCACCCCGGGTTGCCTCCCCAGACATGCAGAGTGTGGACCAGTGGTTCTCGGTGGCCGCTTGATGGTTTGAGCCTCGAGCTGCAGCAAATTTCGTGCTGCACCACAAACAGCAGAATGAAAATTTTAGAATAGGCAAACTGACTTACTCTGATTGACACTGTCTTGCAGGGGGCTGGTTTGGGGCTCCCGTGCGGCTGGAGCCTCTTTGCCGTTTGTGGCGCTGCAGTTGTCTTAAGCCGCAGCAGCAAGATTCAGCTAGCCCGAGGGCTTCTCATACATTTGAAACTTATCACTGCCAGCAGCAGCAGCCCAGAAGTTAGTGGAGGCTGGAGGCAAGGGCTCGTTCAAAACGCAGCACCAAACCCATACAAGTAGTGCTGCACTAAGTAGTCCACGTACATGCAGAAACATCTGCAGCAAACAGCTAAGACCCTCAAAAAGAAGCTGCTGGCTAAGGTATAGAGCCTGCATGCTTTACAGTGCAAGTAAAGTGCTAATGGCCCGCCTTGAGCCACACAGCAAAATGCCAGCAGCAGAAGATTAACAGCTGCTGCAGCAGCCCCGCTCTGCTCCTCACTGGCAGCTCGCCGCTGCAGCCAGATGGCCTCTTAGTAGCTACTCCGGAACTTTCAAAGACGGCCACTACTGCAGCCTGCTGCTGCTGCTGCTGCTGCAGCCCGAGAATGCTGCTAGTGCAGCCTAGGGCCGCTGCTGCTGCAGCCTTGGGCTGTTGCTGCTGCAGCCTGAGGCTGTTGCTGCTGCCGCCTCAGGATGTTGCTACTGCAGCCTGAGGCTGCTGCTGCTGCTGCTGCAGCCCGGGGCAGCGGAGCGGCTGCTGCAGCCTGGGGATGCTGCCGCTGCAGCTTCGTACTGCTGCTGCTGCAGCCTGAGGCAGCAGCCGCGCGGCCTCTTTTACTATGGCGTGGCTTAGAGGGAAGAGCTAAGCTTTACACTGCAGCTGCATGCATAAGCTGTGTGGCGCTGCGGGGCTGCTTGGCATTTGTTGGAGCCTTTTTTTTTCAGATTTTAATTGCTGTTAAGTACTCTTTTATCTCAGCTATCTATTTGGCCTGTCTGCGCTACACAACTCATGGGCCAGCGGACTCTAAAAAAGTGGAAAGCAGGAGTTATTTGCTTTCTTCTTGGCTGCTGATTGGGAGCGCGTGTGGGTCTGTACAGCTCAGCTTCTTTGCTGCCTTTTCGCCGAAAGTGACCTGCCCGAACTCTCCCCGCAGTCCAGTTACTCAGGTAACATGTTATTTAAGAATTCAAAAGAATTAAATAAAAGAACCGCCTTAAGAAAGGCCAAGAGCTGCTACGTGGGGCCCGCGGGGTGTATATACAGCGTGGGTAACTGTAACCCGCTCGCTGAGGCTCAGCTCTTCTCTGCTGCTTTCCGCTGCTTCCCCCTTGACCACTGGAGGTCTAATAAAGACATTTGTGAGCCGAACACTGTCTGCTGCTGCTGCTGCTGCAGCAGCAGCGCCGCCAGCGACGTGGGAAATAAAGACCCGCCCGTCCGCCACACAAGCTGCTGCACCCCCCGCAGCCCCCGCAGCCTCTTGGCCCCCCTTCGGCCTCGCTAGCTGCAGCAAAGTGGGCGAGGGGAAGCAAAAGATGTCCGGAGCAGTTGCTGCTTCGAACATTACTGGCAGCAGCCGCGAGGCATCAATGGGCACTCGGGGGCTGCTGCCTCGAGGGAAGAGAGTTGCCTGCCGCAGCAGTCCTTGGCAGAGTTGTTCAGCGCGTCCATACGCGGGATGCGGGGCCTTATCTGCAGCAGTTGCAGCAGCTGCAGCAGCTGCTGCAGCCGATGCAGCAGCTGCTGCTGGCTGCTGCTGCAGCGCGCTGGGCATTGTCAGCACCTCGCCCGCCATCTCTGCCAGAGGGTCTGCTGTGGTGAAGAGCAGCTGCACGTCGTTGACTTGCAGCGCACAAGGGTTTTCAACTAGGTGGACATTATGGGGGCAAGTCTGGTGCTGCTGCTGCTGCTGCTGCTGCTGCGGGTTCTGCTGCTGCCAGGGCAGCAAGTATGGGGGCTGCGGCAGCGGCTCCGGGTGCAGCGCGTCTCTCGTGCTCGGAACTAAAATAAAATGAGATGAGAGACCCAAAGCAGCAGCAGAAATGCTTTGGAAGAACTCTTCGTAGGCCAGAGTAAGTTCGGGCACTTGCAGCAGCGAGGCGCAGCGGGAGTCCGCGACAGCCGCGGACACAGCAGCAGCAGCAGCAGCAGCAGCAGACCCAGCAGCAGCTGCAGCAGCACGGGCAGGCTGAGGCTGCTGCAGGTTCAAAGATGAAACTATGGGCCCAAATATAACCACCAAGTGCGGCAGCTTCTCCTTCACCACTTCCAAGAAGCAGCTAAGGGCGTCTCGCCTGCAGCAAAGCAGCAGCAAGTCCACAAAGGAAAAACAAAACATGAAAACCAAAACAATTAAATCTAAAAAGAGAAGAAGCAGGAAAAGCAAAAGAAAGGACGCGGCGGAGACCAAGTACCCGAAAGAGACCAGCTGAAGCAACAAGACGCGCAGCAGCAGCAGCAGCAGCAGCAACAGGCCCCAGGCCGCCGCAGCAGGCAAAGGACAGCAGCAGCAGCAACAGCAAAGCAGAGACGCAGGGAAGAAATAGAGACACAAAAGAGATCCCAAAGACAAGCAAAAAGAGGAGCCCGCCTGGCGCAGCTAAAAGAGAAGCAAGAGAAGCAAGAAGCAGCTCGAGGGACACAAATGAGAAGCAAAGAAGAAGAATAAATTAAACAAAGAAAAAAGAAAAAAGGAAAAAAAGAAAAATAAAACAAAACTAACTTCAGCCGCCAGCCTCCGTTGGGACAGGGAACCACAAAAGCGCCGCTCGAAATTAACACGTGGACGTTCTGGTCTCTGTAGCTGCTGGGCACATCCAGCACCTGCTGCTGCTGCTGCTGCTGCTGCTGCTGCTGCTGGGTGTCAGCGGGCGACGCGGGACTGCCAACTTTAAGTGCATTTGGCTTCGTGAGCAGCAGCAGCTTTGCTGATAATGGCAAAGATAAAGGCCGAGCTGGCGGGGGCAGCGGCAAGCCGCAGTGGAAAGAAGAAACAAGTAGCTGCTGCCCATACCCATCCTGAACAGCAGCAGCACAAGCACCGCTGCTGCTGCTGCTGCTGCTGCTGCCGTTCTCCTTTATTTTGCATGCACTACTACTATTGTCCCTGTTGCTGCTCCTGCGCCTTCTACTCTGCTTGTCGCTTTAGCTGCTCGACAGACCAGTGCGCAGCGCAGCCCTTGGTGCAGCAGCAGCAGAAGCAGCAGCAGCAGCCTGCAGCAGCAGCAGTTTGTGGTACCTGCTGCAGGCGTCCCTTGACCGCGACAACCATCCCTGGGAACAGCAGCGCGTCTGGGGCGTGGGTGTGCTTCCTGAGCCTGGAGATGGCCCATTGCTGCAGCTGCTGCTGCTGCTGCAGCGCAGCAGCCTCAAGACACAGCAGCTGCAGCGGCGCGCTCCCCTCCAGCGGCTCCACTATGGCGCTGCTCCACTGCAGCTGCCGCCCCCCCTCCCCAGCCAGCCGCCCCACAACTACTGCTTCGCCCTGCAGCAGCAGCAGAAGCAGCAGCAGCAGC